TGTATGTTAAATTAATCTAGCCAGAATGTACAAAGCACTGCTACCTTTACTGGAAATCCCAGAACTTCACAGAAGGTACTGCAGAGAAACTTATTTTCATTACTCACTCCTTATTCTCTTAAAATAGCAATCTGACATGTTAGCAGCAATCTCTTTGCTTTGGTATTACTGACTGTAGGTTCATAGACTTCTTCTATGAACATTCTGTACAGTTTCATATGACACACTCAGTAGTTCTTTGTTTTTATACATGCGTGCATATCTGTAAGACTAATAAATCAGATATTTCCATCTAAATGCTGAAGACCTTTTGTCTAGGCCAGTCAGAGGGATAAGAAAAAGACAGTTCTTCTGCAGGCAATATGCTTACCACCTGTACAACAATTCATTTCTAAACCAAATAATCTACAGAAATCACTCTCATCCAACAGCGAGACAAGCAATAGCTCTGTGCAAGCAACAATACAAAGGGAAGCTAGCACAGAGTCCTTACCTTTCTCCACCATCTCTCTGCTATTTTTGTTCCTGACAATGTCCAAATTTTATCATTAATGCAACTTTAATTCTGCATTTATCTGCTTCTATATTATGAAAAAAAAATGTTTAGCAGCATAATTTATGTTTTTAACATCACACAATTCCATCATATATGAGAGGGCACCGAAGTACAAGACAAGATATGTCTGATTAAATATGAAGGCGCAAAGGAAAAACACAAACACATCTGACATTAAAAAACACACTAAGTCCTCAAATTTGTCTGTTAGCTAGGATGCAGGAAATTACAAGATGTGGTGGACACAGGTAAGGAATGTTCTAGAGACAAGCTTAACAATTAAAAAGCATCAATCTCATTATCCTTGACAGAACCCTCTCACTGAAAAGCAGTTGACATAGTGCTTGGTGAAAATGTAACTGGAAGCTTGCTAGAAAAAAAACTGATTTTCTTCAAAAAAGGGCTATTTTGTTCATTATGTTCATTAAAAGCCCCTACATGAGTTCATGTGGCATTTACAGTTCTGACTTTGGTCCTTTAAAAATATCTTATAGAAACTATACTCTGTATTACACCAAATGCTTCTTATTTCTTATATTTTAATTTATTTGTAGTGCAGTATTTCTCATTCTCACACTTGAGCCTGACTGTCATTTTCACTGAGCAATACTCAGTTCAGTCAGTAAGCATGCACTTTGTCAAAACCCACAGAAAAGTCACAAGACCAGCTGCAGAACTTAGGCTGGAATTGCTTTCAGCAGAACTAAAGCTGGTATTTCAGATTATTATCTACCCCAACCTAAACAAACACATACACACCAGCATTTTAACTATATATGCCTTTGAACTACAGAATTACCAACTGCAGAAAAAAGTAACCAAGAGCCTTGACCTATTAGATTCAAGTAATTATTAGCAAGATGTCTGCTCTGTCCCAGCAGAGCGGAAAAAAACCTAAAACTGATAACCAGAAAGATTACTTTACAGAGAAAACACACAAGTCAGAAGGGCTATATACTGTAGGTGACACTTTTTAACAATGACGTAGTGTGAATGCACTATGCTACAAATTAATCTGCTACATGCTGTAGCTATTGAGTGAAACACAGAAAAAATGGCTGGGATATTTGGATGTTTCACAAAAAACTGGAGGTTTAAAAATAATAGTCTCTGATGACCAGGCATCTCCTATTGCTTGAGACGGTCAAGATTATCAAAACCGCATTTTTCAGCAGATTCTCTAGTTAAAGAACCAGGGAGGTAACACACATTCAAGAAGCAAAGGAACTAATAAAACCTATGTTTGTGTTTTTTACTGCTGGCATTCCAGCACACTTAATTCAGCTTTTTTCCATCATGCCCATTCTGATAGCTGGAAAAGGTAAGAGGCATCACATGGTGCTGCTGGTACTATGATAGGCTCCTGTCAGCTAGTTGGTCACATACCACTACATCAGGTACACAACAGTTGTTTTAATTCCACAGGAATAAGGAAAGCAGAAACCATGAGGTCTTATTTTCCTAAAAAAAGAATGCTTATCAGAAACACTAAATAGCTGCTACAGCAGAGGAAGGATACAACTGAGCTTGTAGTGATTCCATATGCTTTGAAGACCCAGAGCACACTTCCTACAATGGATGGCATGCACAACTACATAACACTCATAACAGACAACAATTTTCCAGCTAGCTGTGAAAATGATAACTTACATCATCATGTCTAATGTTGAAGAATGTTCACTGTCAAATAATTGAGTGTTGCTGATATCTATTACAAGGTTGCCTAAAAATAATACAGAATGAAAACTAAAATTGTAAAGATTCCGTAACAGTTTATATCCAGTCATTCGTTTTCAAAGTCTGTACATGAAGGCCAAAGGGACAGGGTATCCCTATACTCCAGCTATCTAGCTTTTGATATGGAAATGCCAAAATAATTTCATTAGCCAGCTTGCAATCAGGTTGCAACTGGATGTGCAGTGAAGCAGTTCTGTGGAGTGGGACCTGTCAGTCCTTCAGGTCAACAAGCTGTCCATGAGCCAGCAGTGTGTCCTGGTGGCACATTAGGAAGAGCATTGCCAGCAGGTTGAGGAAGGTGATCCTGCCCCTCTACTCAGCATTGGTGAGGCCACATCTGGATTGCTGTGTCCATTTCTGGGTTCCTCACTAGAAGGGAGTCATAGAGCCCCTGGAGTGGGTCCAGTTGAGGGCTAAAACCATAATTAATGTATGTGCATATTAAAGACATTTTACATCATTGCTCTATCCCTCGAAGATGGGAGAGAAAGTCTTTCTTACGGATTAAATACATGAACAAGCATCAACAAATAATCCTATTTTCTAGACACAATCTTTGGTTTAGTCAGAGACAGAAATTTTACCTATTCCATGTTAAAACTACTTAAACCAAAATACAATCCCTACCCAGACACTCTTTAAGAAATGGTGCATTAGTTTTTGTTTATGTATGGTCTACATCAACCTAAGATAACAATCAGTAGGCTCTATCCAACTAAGTGCATTAACAAAAGCTGTGGGCTAACCTGATTTACTTACACTGCCTGTAACATTACGCATATAAGTAACTGGTCCAACTCCATAGATCATGTCCTTTATCCACAGAACTTAAAAAACAATAGAAGCAATATAAAGAAGCTCTATCCACATACCTAAAAAGTACAATAAATTTAGTATTGACTTTCTTAATAAAATGAGCTGAAATCCTGAGATGTGACTTCCTTCAACAAATTAAAGACTGTCATTATTAGAAACAGATATAAACCCCACAATTACGCATTCATTTCTTCCTTACTTCAACCAACAGTAAGTGACATTGCCCATAAGGAACAAACAGCACCTTAATCCACACAAGGAGTTCACCTTAATGAACACAATGATGCACTGGCTTCTTACTAAATCCTTACTATGCAGACTTTTATGAATCCATTTTGTCTTATAAATCCCGTATCTTAAAGAGCTCAACTGTCCGCTTATGACACATTACCACAGTCTAGTCAAGGTCAATCATCTGCAACATACAAGAAATAAGGGTGTTCCCATAAATGTGACTGCACAGGAAGTCTAGAAAAGCAGTCCAACTGTACCAACTTTCAGGATGTGCACAATATATAAGCATGGCTTATTGTGAAAAAAGAGGCTTATGTAATTCTCTTGAGTTACTATTGCCTGTGGTGAATGTGTTCACTAGTGATGGAAGGGGAATTACATGTATGCAATTACATACATGGCAAGAAAGTGTTCTTTCCTAAATAAAAAATGCAAACCCACAAAATAATTGCATGTGATAATTTGTTGTTATAGCTTCAAACAGCAAAAAAGAGGTGACAATGAAGTGACAAGAACAGGCACACAATTTTAACTGGCAGATATAAGAACACATGTAACACAGCTACTGGCAACATTGCCTATAATACACCAGTGGAGATTATGGCCAACACAAGGACTTACATAGAACAAAACAATTTGCTGCTGTTGAAATTCTGTGATAGCAGCCTTCATGGTATTGCCACAAAATGGGCTTACATTGTGATCCATTGGGAAAACGCATTTTTTTTAATGCTGACAAAAACAAAGTCAGAATAAAACTTTCTATGATGTCTTGATTCTTAAATTAAAACAAAAAATCATAGTCACTTACAGAAAGTGTTAAATCACAGCAAAGGGCTAATTATACCATACTAACTTCCTTTTGTCTAGTATAAAAGGACATTTTTTTACTTTGCCTGGCTGAGTGTAATAGCCTATGAATTATGAGATCAAAGCAGCAAACTGTATGTTTTCTAAAGTAAGAGTTTCCTTCACCAAGTTTTACACTTACTACAGCTGAAAGAGCTGTGTGAAGGGATCAGCACTAAACCCAAAGGACAGGCTGTGCACAGCAAGAAAGAGAGCAACTCCCTTGTGCCTTCTGCAGGTCACTACCAAGGACCATGTTAGCAGATCCACACCAGACCCTTAACAGGCAGCTCTGCTGCTACCAGTAATTAGCTTGGACAGCTCTGGCTCCAGGAGTAGCAGCAAGGCTACACCATAATGAGCTCAGCTGGGATTAGCAGGACAGGGCAGGGAACCAAGAGAGCTGAGGCATTCTGCATTGCGTATGTATCACAGAGATCAAACAAGGATGGCTGGCTAGGTTATCCCCTCACCACCTCATTCCAAAAATGAAGCACGGCAGTGTGTAAAATACAGGCTAATGAAGAGCGACACCTCCAACAGATGAGAGCCACATTAATTAACACAATCCCTAGATCATGGAATACAGTTTCTGTTAGTGCTAGCAAACTTGTAACTTGTCACTGATTTAAGGGGGAGAGAGAAGCATGAAAAAAAAAAATGAGCTGATGTTTTCCTTTTCTGCTTTTGGTAGATGTTTTTATAATGGAATTTTGCCAGGAATTCCTCTTGTATGGCCTGTAAAGCCCTTCAGAAAAAAAACCCAGTATGTTTCCTTACTCAAACACCATTTAAGAAACAAACTCACTTCTCAATCAGCAGCTTTTTGTGCTCCCTTTTGAAAAAAGCCAGTTCATTCCACATCACATCAGGATTTTCTTGACAGAGCTGACAGGAGCCTGTATGCTGGTATCTGCTTTTACTATTTTCAAGGCTGTTTATGAGTTAAACAAGGTTGTTTGTTTTCAAATATCTAAATGTTTTAGGAGAATCCGAATAAAAGCACCCCTGCTCTCAGAAAATAGAGATTTTCAAGTACAGCATCCATTGAATCTGAATTTTGTACAAAGTATACAATCTGAAGCATGAAATCTGTGGTAATAAAGAGAAGTTCAATTACATCATTTTAGACAGATATCGTCCCGGTATGACACCAAGTCTCCCAGGTGATGTGGCAGAATAGTGTCACCCATGTTCTGACAACATTACTTTAAATACTTGTATGAGAAAGAAGTTGTTAAAATTATCACATAATCTCTTGAAAATTAAGGGAGAGTCATCAGCTCCCCTAACAACCCAGCAAGCCAATCTGGAAGTTGTAGCTAATGCCCACTCTAAATCACACTGTTGTTCTACAGTTTAATAAAGGAATTAACTATCTATGGACAAGATGATATATTAAGAAAAAACATATTGACTTCAGAAGTACAGAAAAATAAAATTAAAATATTTAACCGTTTTTCTGTCCTTAAAATATTTTTAGGTATTTTAATAATGTCAAAGATAAAAATTGCATTAAAAATCCTTTATGTAATCAATTTAAACTCTGCAATCCAAATTCCAACTGGGCATAGAAATAAACTCTCAGACAATGTGGTAACCTCCTAAGGCCCCCATCATCTTTGCAGTCACGTTCATCAGTGCAAGTGGTATGTACACTGACAGGTGGATTAGGTCCCATCAGCTGCCATCTCAATAACAGATATTAATCTATGAAGAATATGGAGAATGGGGTCCTCCATCACTTACAAAGGATCAGAAATGCCACATAAGCACCTGATACTGAGTTCTTAATGCACAATTTACATTACAGCAGCACTATACAGCTTTTTGAGATACCAAAATAACAGAGTCTTATTGTTACAGACTGCTTTTATTTGTGTCTTATCTACTTTCTTTGTTTAAGTGTATTAAAAATGAAAACCAAACCTCTTTTAATGCGGCTTCATACAAATCTAACCTGGTAACAAAGATTATTGAAACCCTGTTATTTTCAGCTCATCTTAAATACAGATGAAAAAATGAGATGACTAAGTGAAGACTGAGAATTATATTCTCACTAAATGCTTTCATTATAACACAAGCTCATCTCATTTACTTTAAACAGAAGTCACTTTTGTCTCTCTTTCCCTTTTCTTTTTAATTTTTTTTAACTACCAGAACACCCAGTGCTTCACTGTATATGTAAGTTTTAGATTTTCATGTCTTTATCTAGTTCAATTTTTTTTATCTTGTTAGCCTTGGACTCTCAGTGGACATGAAAGCCTGTCTAGGTATAGACACAGAATTAAATAATTTCACTGAATTTAGTAACTATCATCCTTAAGTCACTTCCAGACTGCACTAAATTTAAAATAGTGAACTAAAAGAAAAAAAAAATCCACATTTTTCCTAAAAAACAAAACCTTTTCATTATAATTTACCCAAATATATTTGCCATTATGCTTATGTATTTAAAAAAATGTTCTTGTGTTACCACTGATGCCTGTAGCAATTTTGTACTTCACCATTGTTTCCATCCACACCTTTTTTTTTCTTTTTTAAAGACAAACTGCTCCTACATAAATGCTAGTATTTCAAAGCAATGCAAATCTACTAAGATAGGCCATAGCTTACTTATATATAAAGAACAGTTTATCATTCACAGGAGGATGCTTTAAGTCACCCCAGACTCTGAACAGCTACCAGTTTTGCAGCATTTTCTGTGACTCTCCCGTTCTTCAGAGAGAGATAAAGTTAGTGTCAAGATTAGTCAGTATTGTTCTAACTGCAAAAATAATTATTTTTAGTAAAACACACAAGTGTTTACTGAGCTGTTAGGTGCATGCTGAAGCCCTGCTAAAACCACAAGGAAATTACTTTCTTGAAACAGGTCCTGAAAAACAGCAGTGCTTGATAACTGAATTGCTAAGAAATGCTTTCATTTATCCAATTGCAGCTGTTTACCAAAATATCTGTCTGCTAAGGACTTAAAAAAAGAAGAATTTCTGCATAAATTTTCACTGTTCTGTATAGAGCCTAAGGGAGAATGATATACAGAATGTTCATTATGCAAATTTTATGTGGTAAAGTCTTTCCTCTTTCCATTAATGAAGATATATTACTGCATTTTTTGTAAAAGTATCAGAAATAATTTATTTTTAAATAATTTAACAGATGAAAACACCTTGCTTTCATGCACATATTATTTTACTTTTCTGCTATAAGGAAGGAGATTTTAGCCTCAGTTAATATATGAATCACTAAATGTTAGAGAGGGTATTATTTCTGTATTTTAATGAATAAAACTATTTCTAAAAACTATTTGAAACATAATAAGCAACTGCTGTGTTCCAGAAAATTAAAAACATGCAGTCAACAAAATAAATGAGTGAAGAATTAGACAAACGTAAGTAAGCAGTCCTAGCTGACCTTTGTCCAGTACTCAGGCTCTCAATGAGAGCCTAAATAAAATAAGTCAAGGTGTCAGCTCAATATATTTCCTTTTGGTTTCAACTAGAACTTTTCTCACGTGGGGTAAGCTGTGTATTCTGCTGTAACAAAGGACAGTCTTGATCACCACACAGTACCTTCTTCCTTCAAATCACATTCTCTTTTGAATACCTATGTAATAATTCTGTTCAGATTTCATGTGTAAGGAAAATGTTTTAATGAGCTATGTAACTTACCTGCTACTGCCCTCTTCCCACTGCTTTAATTGCTCTTTTAGCACTCTGTAGTTGGGCTGTAACATCTGCAGCCTTTCTTCGTGTTTTCCATAGGCTGCTCTTAGCTCATAAGATTCTTGAGACTGTATGAAACCAGAAAAACAAAATCAAAGTTGGACAAAATCTAAGAATGTTACACAGATCACATGAAATAAAAATTCTCTTTCAGCAACTACTATGAGACTCAGAAATCTAAATAGAAAGATCAGGACTCACAGTCCTTGAGGTCAAAGTTTTCTTATTACTGCTTTGGAAAATTCTGCTGATTTGGCAATTCACTTAAATATTATTTTCATGCTGCTGAAAGTTTAAGAATTTACTACCAAAATGCCAGCTTTTATGTGGTGAATGCATAACCCTAATATATTTTAAAACACATAGACTAGAAAAAGGATTGTTGGCACTGTTTTTTCATTCAAACTACTTTCTTTCCTTTTTTTTTTTCCCCAGTGGAAAACTGATCTATGTATTTTCAAGGGAAATACTGGCCACAAGAAAAAACCTTACATTTGAATGGCTTCAGGATTTCCTCACACAGTAAGTTGTCTCTGTAAATATATATAAAACTGCAACACCCAAACTTTTTTCCTCTAGGAATGCAGCAAACAAGAAATAAAAACAATTTTTAAAATAGCTTTTATATAATCAAAACCATACAAAAAAAAATGTACAGAACAAAAAGTAAAATACACCTTGATTTATATTACAGGATAACATCATGTAAGCTTAAAACCAGACTTTCCTAAATGACAACACAGCACTCTGGGGGAAAAAAAAAAAAAAAAAAAAAAAAAAGCAGTAAGAAGAAGCATTTCACACCAAAATGCAAGTCAAACTCTGGCATGCAGTAGTAAAGAATTCACCAGCAAAGAATTCATTATGCTGTAGCAAAATCTGCAGTCATAGCTTCGTTTTCAGTTCAATGGGAGCTCTGCTTGTAGAGCAACTACAGAACTAAATGAATCAGAATACCGTATTTGCAAGTGTTTACGCTGCTTATATGTAAGGAGGACTTTCCAGCATTAGTCAAAAAATTAGACATACCAATAGTCAGAGCTGCTACAATAAAAGTTGAATCCCATTATAAAAACATGGCAAGGGTTTCCAGAGTATTCATAACTACAAAGTACCTATACTAAGCTTGACTTATCAAATGCAGCCCAGCTTTCATGATGCACAAGGTTGAAAGATACCACCTAAAGTTTCAAATGATACTATATACAAAATTCCAGTAGGTTTCTGGAAGTGACTCAGGAAACCAAAAAAGATTTAGAAACACAATCAAGTTCAAAGTCCTACCACTACATACTTTCCCAAAGTGGTGGTGGTAGGTTTCGTTTTCCTGAAACAACCTCTCAATCAAATACATTTATAAATTTTGAATTGTTAAAAAAGTAATTTTAACTGGTTTTAAGTGACTCATGTAAATACTACAATGATATTAAAAAACAACAACATAAAGAGCAATATAAATCTTAGACTAAGAACATAGACACCATTACCAAGCTTTGCAAGAGGAGATTTTCACAAGAATACAATTACAGATGTTGTGTTTTCAAGAGAAGTTCATGAAACAACTGTTCTGAAGATTGTTTGATACTGCTAGCAAAAACTGGTCAAGTATGGCAGGGTACTAGAAAACAATGTCTTCAATATAAATCCTCAGAAGCTTATTAGTGTCAATGCCCTTTCAGAGATGCAGCCAACTGTAGAATTTGGCCTTTCCTATTTATGAATTTGCATTTTTCATTATTGCTTACCTGTTCTATTATCCATTCTGTTACAGTTATTGCCTTCCGTTATCACTTGCTCTGCCCTTGCAGAAATAGAAATTAGAGAACTAACTGCCCTAATCAATCTCTCTATTGAATTAAGCACTTCAGGACTTCAAATATTCACTGGAATTTCCATAATCTGTTAGATTAATCTCTGTCTGAATTATATTTCATAACTAAACTGTCTCACACACAGTTCTGTACATATTGATGGACATGGGACAGAGCAACCATCTCTAGCAGTGCTGGACCTCCAGATTATTCTCCAGCTGCCCACTGTCATCCACAGTACTTCCCATGCAATAATGAATAACAGTAACACAAAGTTCCATCTGCAGGAGGAAAAACCCCACTGCCTATGCCTTTTTTTCTTTTTGCAGGCTGCTCAGAAAAGTCAAAAGATTCTAATCACTAATTCAAATTGTTATTGAAGTTGACCTATTACAGTAAAAAGGAAATTTTTAAAAACTACACTGATTCAATTATTTGACTGTGCTTAGGCTTACAAGATCTGAGGCCCCTAATAGTTAGAAAAATAGTTTTTTCCACACACAGTTATGTGGATATGATGCAATATTCATCCATTTTCAGCATTTGAACACTATACATGGAATAGCACTACGTATGAAATATGAGGCAAATGTGAGTGTGGTCTTGCTGACACAAACAAGTATTAAGGTGGCCCTAAAGACTGGTGTGCATATTCTAGTTTTATTTATCTCCAAAAATTTTAGAACCAAAAAAGGATGAGAAAACTCAAAGGGAAAAGCTCCTCTTGGTTTTGAGACCTTTCCAGTTAAAGCCAGGATTATCTCCTCTAGGTTACATCAGCAAACACAGCTCTAGAAGCAATACAGGAGAAAATCAATGTATTCTTAGTTTGTATCAAATACCTACTTCTCAACAATGAAACTCTTACCCACTTCTTAAAGACCCATAGTAGATTGAAGTACATATGCTTTGGACCAATCTAAGTAGCAGCTTAATAATCTGTTATTTAAAAGCAAAAAAATAACTCTTATTTATTTTGATGTTCCCTTCCATAACCAAGGGTGTAATCAGACTTGCTCTGTTACGTTTTAGGATGCCCAGCAACAAAGCCAATTCTGTGTAAAAACTGAATTTAAATGATCACCCCATTTATACTAGCAATGAAGATACTAAGAGTGAAATTTTCTTGTTGAGAAATGAGTCAGCTGAGAGAACTGGAAAAACGTATGAATGGTTGACCTTTTCTGCTCCTTTGCTACACTGTCTGGGGCAGGGGCATTCCTGAAAACCCCAAAAATAGACCTGTTCTTTTTTCCTTTTTTTAATGTTACCAATTTTTTGAAAGTATTAATGTATAAAGTCACCATTTCATGTTCCAGACATTATTAGTGTGTGTATTGACAGAGCAACCATTTCTCTGAGCAAGAAAATTTCAAGTAATCATATTGACAACCGTTTGTTTGAAGAGGCAATAATGCAAGGACCAGTTTTGAAAACATGGGTCAAATCCATTTTTCATTACTGGAAACAATGTCTGAGAGAAGGCTAGCATTAAGAAATCACAGAATAGCAACATAAATGTTCTATTAACTTTATGACAGCTTAGTTCACTGTCATGCCGACAGCAGCCTCATTGAAATATGAATTTATTGCCACAACAGTGTTAATTAAGATGACTTAGGCCTCTACAGCTTCTTTTCAACCCAGTACAGTATTCTGCAGAAGAAGCCAAGTAGATTTTCAAGAGAAAATGCAAGAACTTAATGTGTTCACTTTCAAGGGGAGATTTAGCCCTTAAAGACATCGTGGATGTCTGAGATAGAGATACCACACGTGTAACATCATAAAGCTGCACAGATTTTTAAATTATACTTTAAGATTAAACAGAAGATAAGCAAAGGCAGTATGGTGAATGGTACAAATTATTACATGAGGTTATGAACAGACAGTTGTTTCTCTTCTGCATCTGCTTTCCTTCACTCTTCTTTCCAGAAGAAATGTGTAGCTCTCCAGCATTTAAGGCAATAGCCATAGACACTGAAGTGTGTTTTGCTTCCAAGAGCAGGGCAGCTGCAGCCTACAGTTCCAGAATAATCCGTAGCATCAGTGTCAGGCAGGCGAAGTAAGAGTAATGGACAGGAAGCCTCCCAAAGGCCAGTTCTCAGGTTTAGCTGGTGGGACATACCTTAGAATTCTCAACAAACAGAAAAAACAAAACAAAATGAATTTTCTGTCTCCCAGGAACAAGACAACCTGGAAGACTGAATTTGAAGTCTAAATAACCTCTTCTGTTCATATACTCTACATTGTCTACAAGACAATACTTTAAATTCTCCCAAGTATACAGATGGATGAACTGTGGCATTTTGCTGAAATATACTTCCCACGTACAGTTTTTCTAAAATTAACCTATCACTACAGTTGGTAGAGCTTCCAAATTTTTTCACTTACATAACTTTTATTACAGGTTGTTCAATACAACCAATTCCCCTTTAGGCTACACATACTTGAAAATATCCTTCAAATTCCATAACCGAACAACAATAAGCAATGCAAAAAAGAGAAGGTGAGGGAGAAAAGGGAGGAGAGGAAAGAAGAGGATGATTTTTAAGTGTTTAAGAAAATATGACTCAGCGTTTGCATTTTGCATTCAGAGGTGCAACTTTAAACCAATAGTTTGTTCAACAGTTACTGTATCTCTGCAGCAAAATACCAAACCAACAAAACACAGCTACAAAAATATGTGAAACAGGGACAAAATGAGCAATTGTAAAGCAAGCTCAATTAAGATTTTCTACAAAGCAGGATTGTTGTTGTTTTTTCAAACACCTTGTAGGCCAGTATCTTTCAGACCAGCAACTAAATGACCCATAACTTAAACAGTTTCCAGGGGTCAATCTTTTTTAAGTTACTGACTTCAGCATTTTAAAGTGTGGCTTTATTGTACAGAAAAGAAGTCTTTGTACTTTCAGTGCTTCTACTTTCTGATTTGCTTCATATGAACACATTAATTTCTCAGAATATATATACTCAAACACAAACTTTGAAAATGTATTTAACAAGTATGTGTTACTGATGACAGCTCAATTAAGCTTCCACAGGACTACAAGATTACTCACATTGTAAAGCAAAAAGGTAAACTAATGGAGAGTACTCTCTGATCCAAAGAGACTTACAGTCCATAAAAGTATGTGTATTTTTAATTTTTAAAATGTCTGTTTGTTTTGGTATATCTTTATCTATGCAAGCTTATAGCTAGCAAGCTTTTTATTTATTTTAATGTTCACCCTTAGCTGTAGTGTCTTCTCTAAGTTTTCAATCTTCCTTTCAGCTATTTTAAGCTTCTTTAGTTCCTCTGACTCTCTAAAAGAGCTCTTTGGGGACAGAGACCTTGAACATTTCACAGGTGGTTCCTGGAGAATAAAACAAGGACATGGTTGAACTAGTTGGAACGCCGGATTATGAAAGACATGCAGAATTAAAGAAGAAGTAATTTTGAATACTAATAATGAATTATAAAAAAAAAAAAAAATCTGCATGGAATACCAGAGAAATAACAAGCAGAATTACCACAGCGCTACCACTAAAGGTTTCTCTGTGACTCGTTAATGAGAATATTCATTTACATTTACATTGTTTCTTTCAGAATAATGATGTCCCATTAGGGAAGACTAAAGGGTTATAGACTCAGAAATGCAAGAAACCTCATTACAAAGGAGGGGATAGAGGCTGGTCTAATTGCTCTATAAGGGTCCAAGGTTACACTTGATAGGACAACCAGAAACAAGAGGGAAAGGATTTTTTTCCCTTTGAAATAGTTTAACACACTGTGAAGTTGAAGGAACAATATGCTTGAGGAATATAAATACAACAGACAGTAGATCTTATACCATAATGACCATATGGTCATTAACTATAATGTGACTAACTAGAGACAAGAATATGTGTTTATATTATGTACAGCTTCATACAGCAATCTGGAGAAAGAGTATGTGAAAGTAACACTTAAACTGGGCAGCTTTCTTGTTCACTCTATGTCATATGTCCTTATGGCAGAGAAAGAAAGGCCTCATAAAATTAGACTTTCAGATTTTTGGAATAATTTTGGTTAAGAATGAAAGAGAGTGAAATACCAACACACACTTAATGCCAATCAGGCAAAATACTGTTGTGCCAACACAAAAAGTCAAACAGAAACTTAAGGTAAATTGTGATTATTCTTGTTGCATTATGCCACTTTCTCTGGGAAAACACTGATATATAATAAAAGGGATAAATTCTTCTTTAATGCTGTAGATATCAATATTTCACTAGTCCGTTAAATTAATTTAATCTTGAAGAGTATCTTAATTAGCAACTGACATTCTTATCTTTGACCACTATGTTAAAGCATGAAATATTTATAGGATATCATATACCACATTTTCATTTTAAATAGTATGGATTTCCAAAAAGAAGAAAAAAAAATCTATCACGAAATATCAGAGAACAGCAGCATCTCATATTTATATTTATATTTATGAATGTAAATATTTCCAATGTGGTTTCGCCATTTGATTTCAGGATTCTTTTTTGCTTATGACAGATACCTGAAAGAGACATGAGAAAGTCCAACAAACAACCAAGCAAAATTGGTTTTCGAAAAAGTGTTACACCCTCATAAAAAAACCCCAACCAAAACTAAAACCAATCCAAACAAAAAAACAAACAACCCCAAACCAAAAAACATAACAACCCAAAAACCAAAACAATCCAAAACCAAAAAAATAAAAAAACCCCAAGAATAAACCAAACCAAACACCCACACACTGCACCCCTTCCCCCCAACCAAAAAAAAAAAAAAAAAAAAAAAAAAAATCCACCAAAACCAAACCAGAACTAACATCTGGAAAGAATTTTAGTGCATTTAAAATCCAAATACTAAAAAATATCCTCAACTTCAAAGTCACAGATTTTGTAAATAAAATGAAGAGCTTTATAAAAAAGCAACCAAAACCCAACATGGTCTTCTACATTCCTGAATCATTATATACAGTTATATTATATGCATGACTGTACTATGCATTATTTTTCAATAATTATTTTCTAGGTAAACTTTATGTTTTTACAGAGAAAATCTGGAATATACCCAGTTTCTCTGAAGTCAGTATTAGAAGGTCAAAGCACTCTGCTTGCTGCTGAAGTGAAGGACATCAAAGGAAAAGGAGTGGACCAACCAGCACCAGACTTTTAAGAATTAATAGGTGTGGAAAACCTGAGAAGGAACAGAGAAAAGAGAAGAAAAATACAGAAAAACATAAAATTCACTGTCTTGCTAGTCTAGTCACAGCTGATCAGATACAATGAGTATCTAAGACTTTATATATATATATATATATATATGTATAGATAGATACTTATGTATTATACACACATACAGAGTTATTTGAGAATGTGCTAGTGCCAAGGAATATGAAAAAAATGAGAAAACTTTTAACTACTTATGGATACTGAAATTATTCCCTGTGACAATGGATGGGATTGGTGATATGTATTAAGAACATTCTATTACTTTCACCTTTTTAGTGATCAGAATAAAGTCTGTGGAGAAAGGGTGCTGAATCTGGGCTTTACAGTTGCACATAGGTAGTTTGCACTCAATCTTTGCTAAGGAGGTAAAGAGTTCTATTAAGACAAACGAGACTGTGTAAAATACACTATAATTGGATTGCCTGGGGCCGCTGCAAAACTCAGTTTGAAAGACAGCATCTGTAAAAATCTTCTCACAAGTGCAAACTTTACTGCTCTTGCTGCTGTCAAATATAAACATTAAATTTTTAATTCAATCCTCAAATTCTACAGAAAAATTTTAACATACCTCTATTAAATATACACAGAAACATATATAATGTTTCAAAATGTAATGTTTCAAAAATTTTCTGCATGTTTAGGAGCAAAAAACCCCTCCAATCTTATCAGTGAAGATTGCTAATCCAAGTCAGTAAAGGAATCCAGATCAGAATATTTTTCATTGAATGCTCCTTAAGCATTTTTACTGAAGACTAAACCAAATAGCAGAAAACCAGAAATAAACAGAGTTTCTAATATATAATACATATGAAACTTTGTGACAGAAGATTTAGCATAAAGAAATAGCAGGTAAGTGGATGGGACACACATTAACTGATAATGGAGACACACACAAGCAGAAAAAGAAAATATGCCTATTTCTAGACAACCTGCTATTACTAGTCTGTACAATGAAAGACACCATGGGACGAAACTGCAAATAGCCACATTCTTGAATTCAACAGGTTTTGTGTTGAATAAAGTGCCAAAACAAGCCAAACAAGCAAAACCCCAAAACAACCAACCAAAAAAAGAAAACAAAACAAAAAAAACCCCAAAAAACCCAAACCAAAGTAGGGAAGTCAGAACTCCTCCTGAAATGTCTTAGGAGTACTTTTTCTGTACAGGCTTGATATCAATGACTGCCAAGATACAGCTCTGAGGACAGTGGGCAGCAATCTTAATGCCTTTATCAATTGAAGAAACAGAAACATAGTTGAGGCTGAACCCAAGACTGACCAGATAGAGGTGGGGGTTTTTAGAAAGAAAAATGGTAAATTCTTTATTCGCTATGTTTCAACAAGAACTTTACTAGTACTGCAAGTTAACATGTCTTTCAGTATCCTGACACTACAGACCTAGAAGAATGATATAGAATGTACATGAATAAAAGGCAATTCTAACTCCCATGCACCATACCATGGGAAAGCTTAGCTACAAGAAAACCACAAAAGCATATTGAATTACCCAGCAGACATATGAACGGCAGTTTAATCAGCTAACAGAAATCATATATTGCTCACGAAGTTTAAGCTCCAAAAAGAGCTCTAGGAAGGTCAAGCACTGACTCCTAAGTCTTCATACACAACAGCACTCAGCTACACCACTTTTCATATAAACTATGATTGTTACTGCCTCTAAATACACAATTGGCAATATCATGAAACAGGCATCACAACCACATTTAAGAAAGCTTTTAAACACCTCTCAAAGAAAGCTGTTTCTATTACTTAGTACAACTGTAGGCAAGGGATGTAGATTTCTGCAATTCACAAAAAAACCAACACAAGGCTATAGATGTATCTATGCTGTTGCATATATAAACACAGCCAGAAGCATGCAGCCGTGTGGCCATACATCTCAATTTATTGCAGTAGTGCCAAGTTTCTGTTTGTACCATGCTCTTCTTTTCAACACCTTTCCAACTATTCCTTCTATCAAAGCCTTTGAAACCTTTTTAGAGCAGTAAGTCATCAAAGCAGTGTCATTCTGATCAGAAGTGATTCCATGCTCATTTGTTCTTTGTATCCTAGGAATGTACATAAGGGGGAATGAAGGGCAGCCCAACAGTCTTTGTAAAGTCAAAAGGATCATCTTTTTAAAACAAACAGTGAATACCTCACATGCTCTTCCTGTCAAATCATGTGCTAATGACTCTGACAGTAATAATTTTGTCATAAAAGGTTGAAAAACAAGGGAATGAGAAGATATTTCACTGAAAAGGAAAAAGGATAAAGCACTACCACAGCAATACTACCTTCTCCATTTTAGAAAATCCAGAGTATTTCCACAATTTCACTTACTGTGTTACCTTCGTACAAAGGAGCTCGTCAATTGAGTTCCCAAAAGTTTTAATAGAGAGTTGTGTGCTCTTGTGAAAAAGTGGACATATGAAACAGCTTTGCCTATTGAAAGAGCATGACTCAGACCTATATATTAAAACAGGAAGAGATTTTCTACAATAGGCTTTAAAATTTGTATTTAGTTTTACTCAAGGCAGTGTAATTGCTTTATTTTGACACAGTTCACGACGAACACAGCAATCTCATTTACTTTCCCCTGAGGAAACAGAAAAAGACACTGTAGGGGGCTAACCTTGGCAAAGGGTCAAACACCCACTCAAGTGCTCTCCCAGTTTTCTTCCCCAATGGACAGGAGAAAACAGGATTATAAAGCTTGTCTGTTTACCACTCAGCATCATGGGCTGACTCAACGTGAAGAAAATCTATTTCAGTTATTGCCACTTAGAATATACTTAGGTTGTAAGAAATAAAGAAGAAAAAATAATTAACACCGTCTTCCATACCCAAAAGAAGCTCCCAGCTTCCCAGGCATAACTTCATTCCATTGCTCCTGACTCTTTTATCACCTGCTGAGCCATGCAGGCAGAAGGTTCACAATCAATGCTTAACAGCTCCCATTGGGCCATTCCTTCCTCCTCACACTTTTCTCTCACTCCCACACACAGTATCTTCACAGGCTGGAGTCCTTCAGGATAAACCTATTCCACAGCGGGTCCTCCGTGGACCATAATTCATGTAAGAGACCCAGCATCTACTCCTCTCCACAAGCTGTGGCTTCCATGAGCAAATTTCCACTGGCTCTGGGCTCCTCCACAAGCTGTATTATTGACATCTGCTCCACAGCGATCCTCTCTCTCCCTCGGCTGCAGAGAAATACCTGTTTCCAGCACATGAAGCAACTCCTTCCTCTCTTCCTTCCTAACCTCCACGTCTTCCAGGCTGCTTCTTACCTTCTGTTCTTCAGTCTATACTGCCTGTGTAGCATTTTGTTTTTTCTTAAGCACATTTTCACAGAAATGCCCACCACATGCTCCTGAAGAAATGTTCTAAAGTGTGTCTTTTCCCAAAACTAACATACAGTATAGATCATTACGAAAGAACAAGCTATACATTTTTAAAAGAAAATGTTATGCGATACCATATTAGGATAAATTAGAAAATTTCAGAGGAAGTGGACATGAGGGTCCACCCTCGTACATTATTTATACCACTCAGAATCACATTCACCTTTGCAACCTTGTTAACAGTTTCCCATACTTCCCATGCAATCACTATAAAAAATAGATGAGGAAGAGTCTGAACACAATGAAAAGCAACATGATTTCAGCGAATTTAATAGATCCATTTAAATAATGGAATTATTTACAGATGTCACTCTTTTACTACAGCTCATCGGTTTTGTTATTTTTATTTAATACCTAAATCAAAGAGTGAGACTCCACGAAAGAGGCAATTCAGCACTCTACAAAGCTGAAAGTATAAACTTCAAATGACATTGGTGTCCTTCTTCCTAGAAAAAAAATACTGTATTCCACTCTAAAAGTCAGGAATTTGGGAAAAAAAATATTTTTCATTTAAAAAGTCATAATAATAACCATTTCTATTTCTCTCACTTCACTTACAGTGAAAGATGGTCATTCTAATAAACACCACAAAATATCTGATAAATATTCATTTTAGCAAACCTACAAAGAGTTTATCCTGCAAATAGTTCATTTAATTAAGAATCCCTTATTCAGTATTTAATAAGGTAAAACCTTCTACTCCCAACAGCTATTTTAACAAGTCTTTGGCAGATAACACAGGAACTATTCAAACAAGCTTCCAGAATTATAAGCAGCGGCAACAGATATTATTATCTGGGCCCTTGAGCAAAAACGTTTGGCTTCACCAGCCTGACTTACACACAAATACACCAGACAATAAAAATACCCTACCTTGTGCTTTCTTCCAGTCCTTATATTGTTGCTTTCCAGAGTATCTGTAGTGTACAAATTATGCTCTGCAGGTTAAGATCCACTTCCTTCAATTTTTCTGTAAAAGCTCCATTTCTGATTCTTGCACTGTAATACAGCCCTCTAGCTCACTTATAGGCTGTTGAAATACCTAAAAAATGATAGTGCAGGTATATCACGTTGGTAACAAAAAATCAGATGCATAACACATCATTTACATAAAACTGCCTAGAGAAACATATAAACAATATTACAGAAACATGTAAAAGCTGCAAATAATTCTGCTCTCATAAATGACTCATGAATCTGTAATCAAAACCAGATCTCAAAATATTAAGGAAACATTTTTTGACCACCACATTTTCTAAATCTAAATTTACATTCTTAACAATGGTTTTTTATATAGACATTTCTTCTGCAGTAACTTATTCTACTTATTAGACAGTATTTTGAATGTCACATGCTATTAAATTTCTTGACAAAATATTGCACCTTCTGGACTTGTTTCTAGTGAAAATTCAAGTTGCAAGTATCAATGGCCTAACAAGAAAACCTTAACTGCATATTCTGGAACTAAACACATTGTTACTTAAGAACTGCCTCAGAAAAGTGCTTTTTTTACTGTAAATCTACAACTCGTAGCCATAACATCCTAAGACAGCACAAGTGTTATGGTCAAACTGAAGACATAAAAAAAAAAATGGATTCTAGCTCACAGTGTTGCTCAAGGTTAGTACTTTATTTTGTTAAACCATTGAATTCCAGGACCTTTCCTAGATATCAATCCATGTGCAGCAATTTCTTGGCACAATACAAGGTTGCCGCACACTGATCAACTTACCTAGCTACCAAACCTCTTCAGAGAGGACACATTTCACTGGTAGCAGCTCCTGTAAGTTATATCCCTGGTATCCAGTAGCAGACTCGTGTATGCATGACCAGAGTTTTCAAGTTACCATGGCTTGACAACTGACTCCTTGTCAGCTGAGTTTTCATTACCTGGTGTGATCACACTCCACTCTGTAACCACCAAGCAAAACTAACTTTGCTTAGTGTAAGCAGCAGCAATATGCTTGTTGAGTCACCTTATGGCAATCACAAAGTAAAATGCTTTAGCTCAAAACTTATCCTCAGTGCCATAAGGCTGGGGACAGATATTCATCTTCTAACAACTGTGCCAGACAAAGATGACATCATTCCCACATGGTCAGTGCATCCAGGTAGCTGGAGGTTAACACCTCAGTGCCATTGCTGGAGAAGAAATGATGTAAACAGCCTCCCTAACTGCCTGCATAACTAAAAGGGGTGGGTAGTTTAAAAGTCAGTGGAAGTGGCTTGAGCTGACCTTGGACTGCATTGATGAGGGGAAACTCATGAAACTCTACTGCCAGTCGTGTTCTGACAGCAATGACGAGCAGCTGGCAAGCAGTAAAGTCTTCAATCAACAAACTTGATCCAAATTCTTAAGACTAACTAGAAGTTTTATTTTATCCCTTATTAACAAGATCCTGACAATATCACTTGCTTGAAACTGTTTGCGCATATTCTTAACACAAATACTCATTTCAATAGAGAAGTTAAAATTTGGTACAATTTGCACATGGCACTGTGATCTCAAATACTGGTACTCCCCAAATAAAAAAAGGCAGGTATACTGACAAAAATTTAAAAAAGCAGTGTAAAATAAAAGTTAAGTAAATAAATCTCCAAATTCATGCCAATCAAGAAGTCAAGTGGTCCAAAGTTGATTAAAATCAATCAAGCATACACCTTAGTAAGCTTAGTATTTGTCAGAAACAGACAAATGGGCATAGCCATTTTATTGATGCAGAATATGCTTTTCATAAAGCCTAAGATAAACTCATTATTTCAACAAATAAGTTACAAATTAAAGATATTGACCATTTTTTTTAACAGAGAAACCTCAACTCCTCATACAGCAGTATATGAAATAAGTATAAAAAATTTGCCAGACAGTAAAAGTTCCCTGTGCTTTTGCTGACTGTTCCTTAAATACATTCTGTTCCTCATTTTGCATAATTTAGGCCATATGCAATTGCAAACAGATGTCATTACCACCTATGATCAGTAAAATGCGTGTTTATAACCATTAGCTCATTAACACACAGGGGGAAAAAAAGAAAAACAAGAAAATTAGGAGTAGACAAGCCATGCAATCGAAAGAATACATTAAAGAAAGCTGGACTTCATGTTTGTTTGAACAAAATCTGAGCACTATACAAAAATGAAAAAAAATCCAACAAAACTGAGAAGACAGAAATTGTGTCAGTAGATAAGGAAAATGTAGTTATACTCAGTTTCTGGAATTGATTTTATTACTTGAACTTTACTCTTTCTTTTTACAAAAGAGAAACACACCTAACAACTTGACACAGACATTTTACTAATTTCTCAGCTACATGTAAAAAAAGAGCTCCATGTGAAACACAAGCTTTAGAACTATATTAGTAACTCAAAAAAGAGTCAACAACTTTAATCTGTCACAAAAATTTCAATTCACATTACTGTTACTTTAAAAAGTCTACACCTCTTAAGTGCTCATAGAATTATCTAACTTTAAAAGGACCTTTAATATCCTCGAGTCCAACTCCTGCTGCTGACTTTTAAGACATAAGAGTTACAGGAATTTCACTAATTATTAACTTCTTACTGTATCACTACCTTTTATTTTCTTGTTTAAAAAAATGAAATACTGATTATTTTAAAACATAATTCCATTTAAGTTCACTGCATTAGTCACAGACTACATCAAAACCTGTTCCTCTATGTCATGCAGGTTCTGCTATTGACTTTAGTAGGACCAATATATGAACAGTATTATTCTTAATTTTCTTTGAGGTTATTTTCCTATTCTTTTCTTCTTCCAAAAGAGATCCCTAGAATTTGCCATGCCGTGATACACATTTTAAATAAAATACCGTAAAGTATTTTTATGGTAAATTTATGGTAAATTTATTTTATTTTCTAATAAAACCTTTACACTCTCCGTCCACATGGCTATACAGACATATTTCTTGGAAAACTAAATCCAACAAATCAAGTCTTAGATCTTAACTAACACCTCAAAATGACTATGATTTTGCCTTAAAATATTCAGTAGATTGCTGTTACCAAAACATACTTACCTATAGAATTTGGGTCTACAATATCCTCAAAACCTGCTCCATTTTTTAAGTATACTTGTGAAATTTTTGATGAAATAAATTTAAAAACAAAAGTTGCGCTTATCAGTGGACTCCAGCTCTAAAGAAGTCTGGTATAATTTTCTGTTAAACTTAACAAATCTTTGAATAATTGAGAAATATTATTTTAATTTTCCTAGCCTAAAGGATTTGTTTATTCAAATATAAGAGAATGTTGAACATTAACTTTTGAGACAAGAAAGCAGACCTTCCCTAGACACAAAGCTGGGTGAAATTTCTCTCGCTGGTGTTTTGGTTTGGATTCATGTCAATTTAATACTTCCAGACTTCTGTAGTCCAAGTATCTTTGGATAAGAGCAAAAAAAAAAAAATTATTACAATTATTAAACCCAAATTATTTAGTGAAAAGATTTGGTTACTATGAGAACAATCAACTTCTTCTGTATACACACATGACTCTATCAGCAAACCAGAGTTCGAAGATCAATGCATGAAGAAAGAATGGCATTTTTACAAGGGCAGGTAGTGACAGGATGAGGGACAATGACTTCAAACTGAAAGAGGGAGATTTGAATCACGTATTATGATGAAATTCTTTACTGTGAGGGTGTTGAGGCACTGGAACAGGTTGCCCAGAGAACCTGTGGATGTCCCATCCCCAGCAGTGTTCAAAGCCAGGCAGGATGGGGCTTTGAGCAACCTGCTCTAGTGGGAGGTGTCCCTGCCCATGGTCACAGTGGGGTGAAACTAGATGATCTTTAGGTTCCTTCCAAGGCAGGCCATTCTATTATTCTGTGAAATGCAATTCTATCAGAACCTCAAAGAGAGATGGGACCATTTCTTGGCTTTTCACTTTTTACATCTAAACTCGAATCTGTAATCTAAGAACTAAGGGAAGTATTACAAATACTAAGGCCAAAATGGCAAATATTTTGGGCTGTAATGGAATAATGACTTTAAAATCTTAACACTATCAGGAAAAAAAACCAAAAAACCAGAATAGTGAGTTTCAAAACTACATAAATCAGTCAATGCCCAAGGTCTGTATGAAGGATGGAGTCCAGTTTCATAGTAAAGATTAGAAATCTGCAATCCAGAAAATTTCAGTCTGAGAGGCAGCACTATGCTCTTCAACAACTTCTGCCTTAGAATTATCATTTTTCATATTATGAACTGAAATAGTACCTCACAGAGTAACTCAACAGAGAAATCCATGAAGTTCACTTCCTAAAGTCTATTCTGAACCCTATGTCTAGAACTGAAATTCTTATGAGACAATAATTTCAGTGTACACATAATGGTGACTCTCTTCACAGTCTATCCATCTACATGCTGAGTGCAGTAAATAAAAAGCTTTCTTTTAGGATTAAGCATCTTAGAGTCCAACTGTATTACAAGCTTCACAGATTAAGGGTTTCCTCTTTCACACCGCAAAATCAGTTTACATCACGTACTATTTTACAAAAGATCATGTGTCTACTGTGACACTGAAATGTGGTACCTTAGAGGCAAAATATATATTCTAAATAAATGTCAGAATTTGTATTTATGTTTTAAACAACAAACACAAGCAAGAAAATATTTATTTCTATCAAGCAGATATATCACTACTCTCACAAGTCTTTTCACAGTGAGACTCTGGTGATCATTTTCTGGATGCATTAATCAAGTTGAAGCACAAGCACCATCTTTGCAAGAAACCTGCAGTATACGGGAAACCATCCACTGTACTCACAGAAGGGAATCCAATACCATTGTTGTCACCTATTAAAAGTAGTACAAACAATATGGAAAAAATACAGCCATGCTCCATTATATTTCTATTCTGCATGACTTTCTACACTGGCAAAAGAGAGCAGGTACCGAAGGAATGGATATCTAAGAGCTTCAGGACTAATTACACAGCCTAATGTGTAACGTCCTTACACAAGGCCTGCTTGTGCTCAGCCTTCTCATCACAAAGCTGTGCTAAGACCAATTGCACTGT